GGAAAAACAGTGAAGCCAAGCGTAGTCTGGAGCGTATCAATGAGCGTTTGCGTAAAAACGGTAAATTTCGTAAAAAAAATTATAAATATAAAACTTAATAAGAAAACAACTTCTCTTTTTAGTAAAATCTACAAATGGTCCCAACTTTAGTCCTCTTAGTACAAATTTGGTGGATATTTTACCCATCGATAAGCCAGCCTATAAACGTTCAACAAAACCTATGAGTCGCATAGCTATAGCTGATATTGTGGGTCCTAAAGATAGTAAAAATTATGAAAATTTAAAAATATCCGATGAAGATATTGATAAATTATTTAATAGTAACTGTGGTCATTTTGAAGAAATCAAAGCGCCCCTTAAAAAGGAAACAAATGTGCAAAAAACTACAAATGTACCTAAACCTCTGAGTGTAGAAAAGCAGGATATTGCTGCCAAAGTAGAGAAAGAAAAAACTGTAACTACAAACAGCTTAACTAAACAAGAAGATTGCAATAAAATTATGATAGAAGAAATTGACAGTAAACATGAGGTACATTAAAAATTATTAAATTAAACTTAATTACTCTCTTAATTTAAATATTTCCTAATTCTATACAGCGTCCTCTACCGCCTGCCCCTAGCTCGACGGCTCAATTTTATTCCAACTGGAAGGAATTAACAGCTCAACAAAAATATCTATATTTAAAGGTATATTTGGGATATTTTAACTATTGAATATAATTAAATTTTTTCTATTTCCCTTTTCTAGAGTATTCCAGTTACTCACTTATGCAAAATATTGGGCGCTGGTTTTGATTCGGATACTTTAACCGATATCATTCGCACATTGCATGATTTTTATTTACCGAAAAAGGATGACAAAACTTCGGCCACTTTGTTGGAAGTTAGCAAAAATAAACAGGTTTCCATATTGTCCTCTCTTAATGTCCAATGAGGATCGTAAAGGTAAGAATTCTAAATGAAATAATAAGATAGATAGATAGATAGGATAGATAGATAGATAGCATAGTATACTAGATTAGAGTAGATAGATAGATAGATCGATAGATTGATGATAGATAGATAGATAGATGATAGATAAGATAGATAGATAGATAGATAGATAGATAGATAGATAGAGATAATAGATAGTAGATAAGATAGATAGAATAGATAGATAGATAGATAGATAGAAATAGATAGATAGATAGATAGATAGATAGATAGATAGATAGATAGATAGATAGATAGAGGTAGATAGCTAGATAGATAGATAGATGATAGATATTATAGATAGATAGATTAGATAGATAGATAGATAGATAGATAGATAGATAGATAGATAGATAGTAGATAGATAGATAGATAGATAGATAGATAGATAGATAGATAGATAGATAGATAGATAGATAGATAGATAGATAGATAGATAGATAGATAGATAGATAGAGATAGATAGATAGATAGATCGATAGATAGATAGATAATAGTATAGATAGATAGATAGATAGATAGATAGATAGATAGATAGATAAGATAGATAGATAGATAGATAGATAGATAGATAGACAGATAGATAGATAGAATAGATAGATAAGATAGATAGATAGATAGATAGATAGATAGATGAAGTAGATAGATAGATAGATAGATAGATAGATAGATAGATAGATAGATAGATAGATAGATAGATAGATAGATAGATAGATAGTAGATAGATAGATAGATAGATAGATAGATAGATAGATAGATAGATAGATAGATAGATAGATAGATAGATAGATAGATAGATAGATAGATAGATAGATAGATAGATAGATAGATAGATAGATAGATAGATAGATAGATAGATAGATAGATAGATAGATAGATAGATAGATAGATAGATAGATAGATAGATAGATAGATAGATAGATAGATAGATAGATAGATAGATAGATAGATAGATAGATAGATAGATAGATAGATAGATAGATAGATAGATAGATAGATAGATAGATAGATAGATAGATAGATAGATAGATAGATAGATAGATAGATAGATAGATAGATAGATAGATAGATAGATAGATAGATAGATAGATAGATAGATAGATAGATAGATAGATAGATAGATAGATAGATAGATAGATAGATAGATAGATAGATAGATAGATAGATAGATAGATAGATAGATAGATAGATAGATAGATAGATAGATAGATAGATAGATAGATAGATAGATAGATAGATAGATAGATAGATAGATAGATAGATAGATGATAGATAGATAGATAGATAGATAGATAGATAGATAGATAGATAGATAGATAGATAGATAGATAGATAGATAGATAGATAGATTGATAGATTGATAGATAGATAGATAGAACTAACAACATTTTTGGTTTTCTTAAACAGTTTCTTAACCAAAACCTTTATTTTTATTTGTTTTTTTAGGTTTATCCGAAATTATTAAATCTCTAAAGGAAACCAACTCTCTAGATAATGCCTCTGCTGAACAAATTAAAAAGAATTTTAATTTAAATTAATCTTAAATATTCAATAATGTTTGTGTTTCGTTTTTCTCTTTTTTATTCTGCTTTATTTACAAAATGTCTACATATTTTGTTTTGTTCATCTAATGAAAGGAGTTTTAATTAAAAAAAAAAAATACAAAATGAAAACAAATAAATGATGTTCAAATTTTATGTTTAACATTTTAAATTGTTTTCAAATAATGGTCAGAAAATGCGGTAATATTGATAAAATTTTAAGATCTGTTTGGAAAATATGATTATACACCAATGGGTGTTTTTCAAATCAAAAACGAAGGGAAGGAAGGAACGAATTTGCTGATTTAAGGTATTTATTAATTACTCATTTGAATAAAATATCCATTTTATTTTATGATAAAAAAATTTCAATATAAATATCACCCTAATAAAAACAGCAGTATTTATGCTTTAGCTATAAAACTGACTGTAATATTAACGAGATTTATAGCCGCTCTTTAGCAGATAGTTTCAATAAATAAGAGAAAATCTCTTAAACACTCTCTAATATTGTATTTAACTAAAAAAAACAAGCTCTCCCCCCACTCACACATTCTTATATCAAACAGTAAAACGGTAAATGAAAATTCCCAGTCGTTAAAAGCTAGTGTGGGTGGTGGAGGCTTGATACACTGTAGTGTGGAGCAGTATATGTATGTAGTTGTAAATATTTGGTCAAGTGTTTTTTTAGCAACAATCACAACTTGATTTACATACAAGCTCTCTAACAATAAAAAATCAAAAATTCTTTTCGTACATGAATAGATTTGTATGGGAATAATAAGAGATGTTTTCAATAATAAGTGCAATTTTTTACTAGCGAGAATAAGAGAGTTTAATTTGCTTAGAGAGCGGGAGATTTGCAGAAAATCAGAGATTTATTCAAGTCAAAATAATTTAAATAAATAACATTAAAATCTAAAAATGAGTATGGATACTTGTCGTTTTGGTTATGGATTTATAGACAACGGCGGGGGTTGTGACAAGTGTTATTTTTTTTTGCGTTGGTCAACGTTAAAAGCTGTTTACTATCCAATAAATAAGTAACCAAGAAAAAAACAAACAACGAAGACTACTACATGAAATTTTTAAAGTTCAGTAAATGAAAGAATTCAATCTTTTGGAAATCTATAATTTTAACTAAGATAATAATATCAAATTAATGTATTTTCTCTTAAGTCCAATGAATTAAGAATCCAAAGGTTTTCAAAATTATCTCTAAATTTCGATATTTATCTTATTGATATATTTTATATCGAGTAGGTACAAAAGCAACAATCTCCTCTTTCTAATAGTATTCGATTAATTAATGACAAAAGCTCGTACTGAAATAATCGAGAAAAATTTATCGTTATTTTCCATTTTCGAGACCATGACATTCGATATGGAACAAGTAAGCTATCTAGTACATTTTCTTATAATTTCGAAATTAAAATTATTATTACATGCATCATATGGATCAGCTATTCGGTCCGGTAAATTCACACTAATATGTGTGTGTTATTTCCTTGAACTTGACCTATACAAACATTACATGAAAATGTCAAGCAAACTATCATTATGGGATGAGTTTTTAAAGAAATGGAGATCATTGTCGTTGCGTTCTATTTTTCTTCAATTTGAGTGTTTACTAGTACCAGAAGCTCGAAATATACACTCTTCTCTCGGTATTCGGTATTCTTCGATAGGAATTTTGCTTAAGCGAAGGTTAAAGATGATAAAATAAAAGAGATCTTTGGACAGTACTTCGTTTTCACTCATGTTGCTAATTAGGCAGTGTCTCATGAAATTTATGAAATCTATCTTGTAAAGCTTTGACGACTCTATAGCATTAGATGTTCCCCTCGAATAGGAATTCAGAAGTTTTGTTATCTAGACGACAAGAACTTTTCGATTGATTAAATGTATGATGAAACGCATTGGGACAATGAACATATATTCCTTCTCAATTTCATAACATTTACATATATCTCAATTTGCGTAGAGAGAGAGAGAGAGAAGATATAGTCAGAGACCCATACATATGTATACTATCTGGTGAAATTGGTAGTTAATATTTCTGAAGCTTGAAGAGACATGGATTAATATGAAGATTAGTTCATAGTGTAGTCAGTCGACTAGTAAGTATATCGATCCACGATCTTGTCTATAAACTAGTCAATAGACTAGTTCGTATATAATGTTTATTGTCCATAGAATAGTCAATCGACTAGTTCATAGACAAGTCCATCGTATAGTCAAACTAGTGTATAAAGTAGTCAATAAGTAGACTAATGCATACATAGTCAATAGGCTAGTCCATATAAGTCCTAGACTTGTCAATGGACTTGTCTTTTCTCAGTCAGTCAGTAAAAATGTACCCTTTATCATGAAAGTCTAGTCTTATGTCAAATAACTCTAACAAATCGTGAACAACGAATGACGGAAAACAGGTTCAATTGGTGCCTCACCTTCCAGACAATATATACTATCAATGTCGTTTAATAAGAGCTATCATGTTGCTTAGTTGGGATCGTATATCAGTATATCAGCAACATGGTTGTCAAAATGAAGCTTGTGTCCCCGTACCCATACAAGTACCACTGTTTTATGTCTCCACATTTTATCATTTCTGAATCAATCTTAGCGTCCTATAGACATTTGTCAGATAATTGTTGAGCCGATATTCCAGCTGCATTCATTTTTAATTCTGAATATTATTCTGATATCGGTGAACACAAAAAGGCTTTGCCTGCCTTACAATCTCGTGTTTTCCGAAATTATGAAAATGAAGTTTCTATAGAAGGACAGTTTGGGAGTTCAATTGCCAGAGAATTATCATGCTGAACTACTTATACGAAACCATATAGTTTTTAATGAATTGAGTTTTAGATTATAAGGCCCCTAAAATAGTTAAATAAGTGGATAGTTAGTCCTGAACTATGACAGAACTTCAAGAAGGTTTATATTCTTTAATTAGAATCACTCTCTTCCTCTAAAGTAGAGTAGGTCCCTTGTGCATTAATTTCGTTTACCGTACACGAATGCAGCCTATGGAAACAATGCGGAATCTAATGAAAACCCAACAGGGGACATTGTCAGGGGACATTGTCATTGACAGAACTTCAAAAAGGTTTATATTCTTTAATTAGAATCACTCTCTTCCTCTAAAGTAGAGTAGGTCCCTTGTGCATTAATTTCGTTTACCGTTCACGAATGCAGCCTATGGAAACAATGCGGAATCTAATGAAAACCCAACAGGGGACATTGTCGAAAGTCTCTTCCTAGATTTACCCAAAAAGAAGAACTGATGCTATTACATGCCAATAAAATTTAAAAAAAAGTCTCGAAACCCAGAGTTTAAAATATACATTTCTAAAGGATTCAAGATTGAAAAGCCCCAATTTTTGGTCATATTTGAGGAGTTTTAACAGTGCGAGGACACCATTATTTATAAAGTTTTGTTTTTACCATCTGAAAGACTAATCTGTCGACTTTGAAATAAACGTTTAACCTCTGTTATAGCTTCTCCCTTCATCGATATATCTTAAAATCGACAGGTTGGACTTTCAAATGACAACAGATATAAGAGTTATAATGTCTCAAATATGACCAAAATGTGGTTTTTGCTTGTGTAGGACACGATAACGAAATCAAATGTGATGGAGAAACTCTGATGCTAGATTCGGATGTAGAACAGCTCAATTATTTGGATATAACGTATACTTTCGTCTACTATGTCATATAAGGAATCAGAAACCAGTTTAGAGGAATAATGTCACATAAAATATGTATATATACCAAGATATCGAGTTCTAATATAATGAAATCTGTCAAGAGTTGGATTCTTAACAACGTTATGTTTGATTAGAAATGGTGTAAATTATCAATGCTCACTGCTCCAAACGATTACATTCTTTTTACCTACTGCCAACTGAGTACACACACATTTTTAATGACGATACGATAATACATATGTATTTTAAAGAGACATTTTAGTACAACCACAATAATCGTGTGCCGTTTTTTTTCCCAGATTTCTGTATAATCGTGTTGTTGTTGTGGTGGTGGTGACTTGGCAAACTGACTGACAAACTGTTGGGGATTGGAGGGGGGGGGGGAGGTCTTCGACTGATGTGTGTACGAGAGTAAAGTATGGCTTAACTGAGGTTGCGCTTGATCAACTTGATCCACTCCAGTGACAGCAGTAAACGCGAAAAGTTAAAACAAAAACTGCTCATCATTTCGTGCGGTTTACACTAGTTCTAAGTTCGATACAAATAAACACAAACACTCATACGCCAACAAAACTGATATCGGTTATAATTTTGGTTTTTATCTATTTAAAAATTCAAAATAAAATAGAAAAAAAAGAAGAAATACGTAAAAAAAAAACAAAAAAAAAATATATAAAAATTTAAGAAAAAATACCAAGAAAATAAAAAAACCAAACAAAACTTGTTATTTTTTTATAATTTTGCAAAAATCTCTATGCACACTTACACACCGAAAAGTAAACAGGCATTTTTAACACATACACTCACGCTCATAGATCAGTGGGGTTTGGTGGAGCTAACTGGCATCGTTCGTTCATTCGCATGTTTAAAACAACAACAACAACAACTAATAATATATTGATACGAGAGTGAGTTTCTTTAAAGAAAGAAAGAAAAAAAAAACACATATTTTTTTTGAATTGAATTTCAGCTTAAAAATGATCGTTAACGACAAGTGATCACGGTTAAAATACCACAGCAACTTCTACTCCAAAAGAAAATAAATCCCAAAAAAAAAGAAAATAAAGAAAATTTAATGAAAAACTCATGATTTTCTCATACAAAATTTATTTAAAATAAAATGTGTAAAAATATGAAAATCGCGGATTTGTGTTTTGCAAAAAAATTTCTTTAAACATTTTTTTCATTTTACTTGAAGCAACTGTGAAAAGAAAGAGCAAGAAAAGATGTGAGATTAAATTATCAGTTGTAACGTGCAAAAAATAAAAACAAACAAAATAAAAAAGAAAATTAAAAACAAAACAAAAAGAAAATTTTAAATTACAAGAAAAAAAACCAACAACAAATGAATTTTATTATAAAAGAAAACAAAAACAACAAAGAAAATAAAACCCAGGTTTGCAAAAAAAGAA